AGGGATTTATTGGTTTCCTATCAATGTAAGAGTGAGTTGTACTTTTGTCTTGATTAATGGCTGTAAAAGACGAAGCAAGTTATCAGTATTACAACGCACTGATAGATTTATTATACGTATATGTTTTAGGCTGGTAAAGCATCTGCAGTTCCTGCCACTCGTTTGCCCCCTTCTCTTATAAAAAAATAAAATGCCATAGAGAAAACTTGTGCTTTGTAACTTTAAAATTTGACAAGTCTGTAAATATACAATTTAATATCGGAAATCTATATTTATCAGGTACAAAAGTGATTGCAATATTGAAATTCAATTACAAGTAAATTGATACTAAAAAAATCGATTCTACTTTTTAAAATTCTTTTGATATAATTGTCAGAATTCCATCAATTCATTTGAATCGTTTGAAGTTAGCGGGTAATCATTTGAATTTCCCATTCGCAATGTAAATAGCGTACTCGTGCGGGCAACTTGCAAGCGACTTAAGTTTTAACCTCGCTAGCTTTAGAATCTGAACCCTTTAAAGTTTACCAACTTTTTACATGGATTTTCAATTGAAATCTCACTGGAGGTGGAATTGGCGGTGGTGTTTAGTGGGAAAGTTGATAAGCTGTTTGCGTTTTGTAAAACATAAGAGTCCTGGCAAATATTTATAAATTATTTATTAATTATTTCAATGCTTTATTCTTACCCTTTCACAACGCTTTCCTATTTTATTTTCATTAAATATTTTTTATTCTGCTTCTTCTTTTCAGCCATGAGACGCCCACTGCTGGGCATAGGCCTCCGCCAAAGAAGATTTTATTCTTAGTTTAACATTAATTCTGTTCTCGATACACAATAAAATATGGGAGTACGATTCGGACAGACCTATCGTGTTTCATGCATCAGTTCTACAAAAATCTGTACGTTATTAAAACTATATGATCACGTAAGAGCTTACGTAATTTGCGTGTAGTCGTGTACAGATGAAGTTTGACCAACTTTTGTAACGAAATTTGCGGCGAGCTCGGTCGCGTTCCGCTTGTTAATTAGTTTCGTTTTCACTATTTTCTGTTCGTTGTACGGATCATTTTTGATATATAAATTACTATGACATTTTAACCATTAGTAATAATATATCTAATACTAGCTCTCGTCCACGATTCTGTCCGTGCAGAGTTAAAACAACATAATTAGTAGCCTATGTGTTCTTCCAGATTTTGTTCTATATGTATGCCAAATTTTATCGATTCCGTTTAGCCGTGCTAGAGATACCTTCAAACAAACATCCATCCATATAAATATTCGCATTTGTTATACTAGTAAGAAGTAACATAGTGTTATACAGTCATAACATAGTGACTTGTTTAATATCATATGGTGACAAACGTGCAAACAGCGACGTGAATTCGCGGAAACGGCGAAGCATGCTGCCCATGGACATCAGCAATTGCAGATATGTTGCGTACTTTTAATTGACGAAGTAATAAAAAAAAATGGTTAACATTAGATGGGGATTTTTCCGCTCATATTTAAGTTCTAGTAAAATGATGACATACACATACTTATTTTATATTAATTTATATGATTTGGGATATTTTGTATCTAACCCGAATTGTAATAAACATATTAGAAACAAACGTAATACAGTTGGAAAAACAGTGAGTCAATAATAAAGTACAATGGTCAGTTCTATTCGGGATTAGACAAATTAGAAGTTTTACTTGTTATATTAGTTTCATTCCGACCCTTATTTAAGTAAGACCGTGTGTGCTTTGAACAGTTAACTTTATAGAACAGAGAACTGTTCTGACTTTACATTGACTTATTTTAAATCAATATTACGTTCTAGAATATATAGAACAGCGATAGTTAACTATACTTTAGTGTACAGATTTTATCAAACTCCTTCAGTCTGCTATTTTCTTGACGCCATGATGTTAGACTAACGGCTAATTGTTTTATTAGTAGAATGCCAAATCAGCTGTGATAGCAATGGAGATTGTACGGTTATAAGAGTTAGTAGAGAGGACCATTTTCTTAAATGAAAATTCATATGTGTATATCGGTGCAACACTAGGCCTACTAAAATCTCAACTCTTACGTCCCCTCACTAGATCTATTTGACATTTGACTTTTGAACAAAAAAACAATACGCTGGTGTGACGTCTTCTTGACGAAGCAACGGTGTCAATCATCTTACACAAAAAGCAAATCAAATGATAAGCATGAAAGTATAATTTATTTTTCAATAATTTCGTCTATTGTTGAAAATCGTATTCAAATCCGCTTGATAAGCTCGTAGCTTGCAGACTTGTGATATCGATTTGATTGTGTAGTTATATAAAATTTTCTTACTTATTGTTTGTTTAGAAGTCGCGCTCAAGACAATTTCAAGGCAGATAATACGACTGTTCAGTATTCAGTAGATAGCTTCGATTCGCAGATTCGCCCGTGGCTATGCATATTAAATTACTGCCTCTGCTCTGTTTGACTTTTAAGAATATGAAAAAACAAAAGACAAATAGACAAACATGCAATAATGAAAGTAGTATACTTACCTGAATAATCGTGGGTTTCTTAGGCCAAAATCCTTGTTTAAACATAATGTTATCTGTGTTTGGTCAGAGATAATGACAGGGCTCATGATGTTTATACGGGAATTTTGGTCTCAGAAACCCAAGATCTCGAAAAAAATATTAGCGGTCACATTACGTGTATACTGTTAGAAAACTTTCCGTTAAATTTTCAAATGCGTGTATTCAAGGCGGTGCTTTAAGTTTTAACTAGAGTGAATTTAAAAAGTAAATCGCTAAGAATTTATCAGAAGTTTTTCGAAGGATTTGCAGTTGCAACCTCCTAGTCTATTCAGAGGCTTAGTGGCAAAGTTCTGAAGCGTTTCCAAACTTCACTCAACACCTAAGTAGGGTAAGTGTTTATTTCAAGGGGTGGAAACGATAAGGTAGTGATTACTAAAGTGTAAATTTTTATATTTAGTTGTAACATTTACATTTATGTAGTCTTGATACATCCACAGTTCATAAGGAAAAATGGTCATAGGTTTTTGACCTATCTGGAAGCCAGTTTTTCCAAAGCTAGTTATGAAGTTCAATTACATCTTTGCCTTTATCTCAGTAACGAAGTACAATTATTGTAAAAAAATTAATCGACATCACAGGGGACCGAAGAGCTGGCAGCTACCTCGGTCAAAGAATTAGTTTAGCTGTACAGAGGGGGAACGCTGCCAGTATCTTCGGGACCTTGCCTAAAGGGACTCCTTTTAATAACATATTTTAGTTAATTATTCGTTTTTTTTTATTTTTTTATTTCATATCATAGATTTAAGACTATATGTAATTATAGAAATATAATAAATAAATATATTATTGTATTAACGTAGTAATTGACGTTTAAGATAATATATTTGATAGAGAAGAAAGGTTAAAAGCTACTCGATAAAAGCAATTTGCAAGTATTTGCTCGAGCACCCATTCACCATACACCATTCGCTGAAACTCTCTTACTTCGTGTAACGGCTGCATTTTGGCTCTTTTCCAAATTCAAATTGTCATTAGACGATATAGTCGGAGGCACAGATATCGTAATGATACAAAAATCTTTATTAAGTAACTTATCGAATTCGTTTGTTTTTTTGTTTAGGCATCTTTTGTTTTATTTGGCGATAGCAGTTAAGGTTTTAATTGAGATGCTGCAGTACACCGAGTTTATTACTTAAACAGGTTTTTAGTGGAGTTTTCTCAAACTAAATCTATGGTACGACTCCCATCCTAATCTATTAACAACTATGAATACTGAATTCATGTTTGTATATAGAAAAAAAAACATAATAATCAATTCAAAAGTGGGAATTGAAATTATAATATTATTTCATATTAAAACAGATTTCGATTAACATATTGTAAAGTTTTGACATCAACGCAAATTGAAATAAAAGCTTTGTACAAACCTCAATACGATTTAATTATAGCCGATGCTTCGAAGCCAAGCGAATACGGACATGAAAGTTGGTCGACGGATTACAGAGTTTATCTCGAAACTTCCATACGATATTTATTCAAGTATGCAACTATATTATAAAGTTTATTAATGTACAGCTATGGAAATATTAATACCAATACAGTTCGATCAAAAATATGGTTGATTGAAGTCGATAAAGTAACAAGTAACAAGGAATCTTATATTCTTTTCGTGTTTTAAAACAATATAGATTTTTCGTGAGGAATCATAAATGTATGAACTTCAGTTACAAAATTAAATTATGTGTAGTTTTGAAACGTAATATCTCTCTCTATTACTTAAATGTAAATTGACTAATATTATAAATGCGAATGTTTGAATGGATGTTTGTTTGAAGGTATCTCCAGAATGGCTGAACAGATCTCGATGAAATTAGGCACAGATGTAGAACATAGGCTGGAGGAACACATTAATTATGGGATTTTTTAATTCCGCGCGGACGAAGTCTTGGGCCTAGATAAAGCCTTCGGTGACCCTACGTTCTGGTTAATTTTTCTTTTATTTTTTACGATGCAAATGACATTTCGAAAATCGACTCTCGATTAGACGTCGAAGTACTATGAAATACTACATCTATCTTTTATATCTATTGGTACGCGACGCGGTACAGGGTTACTTTCGTTGGATATGGTATAAAATGAGGTTAACTAAATTCATACATTAATAAATTGAACATTTGAGTATTGTGTTTTTATAATAATATTTAATTGCGATTAATCGATAAGAACGCGCGTCAAATCCATTATAAAGCGTAAAATCAAAATGCTGCGTATTATATTTTTAAAAGGCATATTACTTTGCAAAAACATATCGTTTTGTAAACGATCATGAAAGTGATGGTGTTGTATTTTATGGTATGTAAATTTACATTAATTTATCATCATAAGTAAAGCATTTATTGATCCAATTTATTCTTAATTGAAAACATGTAACGATATTTATTTTCCTTGTACTTATATATTACAATTTATAAAACAAGTCGGCATTAATTTGATACAATTTCAACTTCAGATTTCAGAGCAGACTTTAGAATTGATTACAAATAAAGTTGATTTAAAATGTTGTGAACTAAAGTAACACAAAAATGTTACTGTAGTTATTATTTTAAGTCAAACTGAATAAAATAAATTAATATTATTTTGAAGTAAATAATCCTTTATTACATAAATATTTAATTACAGGTGTTCCAAAATTGTTTACATATTGTTTTACCCCAAGAATTATCAACGGAACTAACTAACAATGTGGTGCAAGAGAAAGACACAACAATTTATGGAAGCACAACAAAATCCGCCAATGAAAATGATCCAAGAGAACCGAACAAACTTAATCTCGAATCTTTTAGTTCATCCAATCCAACGAATGATGAAGAAGCGAATAACGGTCTTGATTATCCATTCAAAACACTAATGCGATTACTCAGTACGTATGTAGATAAAAACAATTATTTTTTATAAGTAAATATTAAATGCCGTCTCTATGGCCAGTTCAATATGTGCAATATCACGACTATAGAAGACGGGTGTGAAATATTCCTGCGTTGGATGAGTGCAGTATCGGAGGCCAATTTTAGTCCTCTTTCCTTACTAATTCTTTTTTTAAAAAGGAGAGTATAGGAAGGGGACATGTGAATAAGGCAGAGAATCAATAGAGAAAGAAAATATTAACTTGAAATTTATCTGTTTCAAGTTATGTTGTTGTAGATGTCTATGATTAGCGGTCACATAATACGAGGTGACCTGTTTCCACGTTTTCCTTTTATAAAAATCCTTATGTAACATTTATATTTTGAACTAGCTGTCAACCGCGGCTCCGTCCGCGCGGAACTAAAAAAAATATATTGGTCGCCGCATAATGTTATATAGCCTAAAGCCTTCCTTTATAAATGGACTATCTAACAAAAAAATAATTTTTCAAATCAGACCGGTTCCTGAGATTAGCGCGTTTAAACAAACTCTTCCGCTTTATAACATTAGTATAGATTATTTAACTCTCTTATTCTCTTTTTGTTAGTGGGATAAAGTCCGGGAGATGATGATGCAAACAATAAATTTATCTCTGTTTTTAAGTAAGCGTAATGTTGAAAAAGTAAAAAGTATTTTATTTTTTTATTTTTCAGAAGTTAAAGGCAGCATAACAGACAGTTTCGATGGGGCATCAAAAATATTCGGCGGAATCCAAGACGTTGGTGGCGAATTATTCGGCATGGTCAAAGATGGAGCTCTTAATTTTAAAAACTATTTACCATTTAAATAACAAAAGTTTAATTACATAATTTTGCCTAGTTTCTAAATTTGCCAAGTAAAATGTAGATTTATCATTGTTTGTGGTATAAGGCTTTTACTCTAAGTATTTGAGATATAATCAGTTTCTAATTCTTTTCTAAAAAGAGATTTAAAAATAAATGTGATTTACACGGACGTGATATTTTTTGTTTTATTTTAAACAGCTGTTTTATTTATTTTTCTTTAATTATTAGTATTTTTAAGTAAGTAATTTACTCAATCAGCAGTAATATACTAATCGTTGATTTCTGAGACCAAAATCCTTATATAGCAAATATTGTTATCTCTGTTTTGTCAAGGATAATGAGAGGGATGGCATATGTTTTATACAGTCAAACCAACGACAAGTCATTCAAATTTGGAAAGACGAGGGATGTACTCGGCAAATGATTAAATACTTAGATTTTTTTTTAAATTAATTTCAATAAAGTCGTAAACAGTCTGCAACTTTGGCCACTAATTTTATTTAGCCTTTTGAATACAATTAGATTTGACGATAATAAAAACTTTTTCACCATTTCCAGTAAATTGTTTCTGAAAAGTTACCAAGATAAGCTTTTAAATTTCAACATCTAAGTTTGGTAGCAGCTTTACGCGCCATTGGCTTCAACCTTTGACATTTGAGAGACAGGATCTGTCAAGCACAATTAATAAGGAGTTCTAAACTTATTTACTCGTGTGCTAGTGTGTGTAAATTTTTTAAACAGCATGCGTCTATAAAAGTGTTACCATCAGGGTATGGACATATTTGTTTTTCAGGTATTTTTACTTGACCTATGCTAAAAGTGAGACAATTTATTAAATGCAACATCGGCTCTTTGCCTTGTCCGTTTCTAAATAGTCAAAGGCTTCACCCTATTAGCGATAATTAAATCAAACCGAGGATTGTATTCATCCTGAATTATAATTTTGTTTTAATCTTTGCCAAGTTTTAAATGAATTCATCATAATTATTTTAGTATTATATTTTAATTTATTTTAACTATTTTGAAAGTTATGAACTTGATTTTAAATTGACATAGGCCGATTTTAACTGACCGATTTACCCCGTAGTCAGAGCTATCTAAAAATCTTCGAGATTTTTGTTCACGAGCTCCTTACACCTATACTATTGCCTTGTACAGTCAGCGTCATATAGATCGTAACAGACAAGATATGCAAATATATAGGTACATCAAAAGTAATCAATTATATCGGTACAACAAAAGTCCTCAAAAAAATTCACCCTGCTCAAAAACATCGGTACATACACAGCGTCAAATATATGAGTACATGCAAGATGCCCATAAATATCGTAGCAGCCACAGCGTCATAAGTAACGAAGCAGTCAAGGTGCGCAAAAATATCGGTACATTTGACAAAATTGAACTCTATCTCTATATACTTGTGATACAATTTGGAATATATCACTATGATATGATATAATATATCGTTATGACAGGAGAAGAAAAATATTGGGTTGCCCAGTAAGTTCGTGCCGCTTTATAAGGAAAATTGAAACCCTGTTCTCTTAAATTTTTGGAAATGTTTTTAAATTATATTGGTACGACTCTATA